AAATTGTCGTCTACTGCGAGATGGCGAACTGATAAAAGACGATCTCTGGGTTAGAGCTGGAAAAATTATCAATCCTCGAAAGGTATTCTGGGAGGAGCAAGTACGAGCAGATGTTCAGATTGATTGTAATAATTTGATTATAAGCCCAGGATTCATTGATCTACAAATAAATGGTAAGTGTAAATTGAAGTATTGTAGGAGGTACACATTACTTTGAGAAAAATTTGTTAAGGTGGAGGGGAATGAGTGCTGCAGAAACCGGTTATAATGCCCCCTAGGTATAACCCCCCTGACAAGACGTCCCCAATCGTTAAGATACTAACCCCACCCCTCTTGCACAGGTGGTGTATGACATTTGTAGACAATGTTTAGACCTAAATTTTTATGTCTTATTGATTGGGGGCACCATGTCAGGGGCGTGCAATTCATGTTCTCCTATTGTATTTCAGGTGGATTTGGAGTTGACTTCTCTTCTGATCCAGACAAGTTAGAGGAAGGCTTGAAGACTGTGGCTAAGGGTCTGTTACAGCATGGCGTGACATCTTATTGCCCCACAATTGTCACATCGTCACAAGAAAGTTATAGCGAGGTGAATAAATATGCCATTGCTAACCCATGCTGCTCAGCTATAATGTCTTTCCTCCTTCCTGCCTGGATCTGGATCGGATAAGCTTAGATAGGACTTTTCTATACAGTATGTATGATTTATTAGTGTATCAATAAGCCATATGCATTAATTACAATTTCAGTTTTGGCTTATAGATTTCAAAGAAGATAAAGCGAACCCCTGGTGGAGTTGATGGAGCAGAAATATTAGGTAAGGTCACACATATAGTTAAATAACAAAACAAAACAACTACAACAACAATAAAAGGGTGCACGTCTTTAAAACTGCAAAGTACAGTGTGTGATGGCCTAATTGAAGGAGGTGGGGAATGATATGGACACTATATCAACCAGTCTACATTGTAGCTCTGGTAGAGATCACTTTATTCTTGCAGTGCTTCTCTTCGCCCAGTGGGTGGTGTCAAATTAATTGCTGGGGAGAACCCCATGGTGACTAAGATCTATTCAGGGAAGGTGAAAAAATAAACACCAGCCTAATGGAGGCTTGAGTTTAAACTTACTCTACACCTACGTTACCTAAACCCATATAGAGAACCACCATACTAAATAAATGAGTTTCATGTTTATATTTATTCATTTTTTGCTATAGTTTGATACATTTGTTGTTTTTTGTTCACTTTGATGTTGTAAATGCAGGTTCCCATTTAGAAGGGCCATTTATCAATCCTGCGATGAAGGGAGCTCACAAGGATCATCTGATGCAGCAGATTAGCACCAAGGGAGCTCAAGAAATAGAAGAGTTCTATGGTTCATTGGATCATGTCAGTATCATAACTCTTGCTCCAGAACTGGCTGGAGAGAATATGGAGGCAATAAGACAGTTGGTGAAAAGAAACATTGTGGTTTCAATAGGTAAAGAAAAATGAAGCACTAACAATATTTTATTGTATTTTATTGTTATAAATCTGCTAGAGAACAAAGCCTCACTCAAATGAGGTCTTTTTCTGTTGCTTTATTCAATTGCCCTATAACTATACATGTGGAGGGCACAGTGGCCAGTATACTGGCCCCAACCTATTTAGCTGCTACCCTCTTCAAATGCTGAGAAACTCATACATATAACACCAGAAATTAAGACCATCTCAGTTTACCTATGTGTAGGACATCAGCAGCTCAACATGGCTTCCATTAAAGGGCACTTAAAGCTTGGAAAAATCTTTCTGTTGCAACTAATAACTTGCACTCAGTTTTGTATTTCAAGAAGAGGGCGAGAAGTGAAATGTGGCGAGTAAGATGCATTTAGATTTAAGTAGGTTGTAGTGATAATTTAATAGGCTTATTTAATTTTAAGGTTTAATAAGTCATCCATCGTGCATTTTTAATATGAGTGTGATTAGACTTTTTGAATTTATTATATTTCCTTTTTACTTGATTTAATTAATTCTGAAAAACCCATTTGGGGGAATTAATAAAATGTATTGTATGCTGGACTCTCGATTGAGTGGTCCGGGTTTGAGCCCTGGCTGGGGACATCGTGTTGTGTTGTGTTGTGTTGTGCCTCTCTCCACCCAGGTGTACAAATAGGACCGGTACTGATGAATTTAAAGCTGGGCTAATCCTGTGATGGACTAGTATCCCATCTTGTGGGAGGTGGGGAGATACTCATAGTCGCTTCATGCTATGGAAATCAAGATAAGCTCTCATGACCAGCAATATGGACCACTTGGTCCAACACATAATATTTTTAATAGCTGTATAAGATAGATGTTTTAGATTCAAGCAAAAAAGTCCATGGTGATGATATAGCACGACAGAGTTCCACGGAGTACATCTTGATTGGTTCATATCCATGCAAAATTTAATATCAGGCTTTACATGGTGTGCACATTGCCAAGCAAGGACAATACAATGTCTTGATCCTTGTACAGCTAAGTACATCGATCATCAGTTAAGGATGTTTTGGTTTATGTCTTGGAAATCTATCTTGCGGAGGATGTTCTGCTGTTAATAATCAAAGAAGAGCTCTCCTTAATACAAATCATGTACTGCACATCTCTAAATTAAACTAGTTATGAATAATATTAATAAATACTATTAACTCTCATAGGTCATTCAGCAGCAAATCTGTCAATTGCGGAGAAAGCAGCAGCTAATGGCGCCACATTCATCACCCATCTCTTCAATGCCATGTTGCCAGTAAGTGAGGGACTTCAAATTAATAAATATTATACATATTTACTTTTTATGTAATATAAACAAGGGCATGATCGCAGAAAAATAACCAGAGATGAGATGTTAAGAGCTTGAGTGAGTGAATTATGTTGTGTTCTGTCACTGACAGTCCTTCTCTCCACCCAGAAGTACTACTAGCTTCTAAATAGGCAGAGTTTTCATTAGGGCAAGGCACCGGGCAAATTGATGGGCTGTAAGGATGATTTTGCCCACCTGGTTTGACCATCTAGAAGAAAAAATTTCCTTATAAAAAAGCTCAGTTTTGCCCGGTTACCATATCCTGCCCAGTTACCATATCCAGTTACCATTACCATGGTTTTGCCCAGTTACCATATCCTGCTGAAAAGGTTAATAAAACCCCTGAAAAGGTACTTACAAACTGGTGGTACAAGTTAGTTTGATCAACAGTAGATTTTGTTTATGTTTTTAGTTCCATCATAGGGATCCTGGAATTGTAGGTCTTCTAACAGACAATGAGACTCCTAAACCCATCTTCTATGGACTGATTGCTGATGGAATTCACACTCATCCAACAGCTACAAGAATAGCACACAGATCACATCCTCGTGGTATGTGGGTCTTTTATGTATTTTATATCAAACACAACAGACCGTGTTTGACCACATTTCCAAACTCTGAGAAAAGAGTTGAAAATACGACACGCAGTGGAGTATTTTTGATGAACTTCGTTGTGTTTGCATTTGGAAATGTGGTCAAACACGGTCTTGAGTGTTTGATATATCTTCTCAATCGAAACTAAAACTAATGAGAAAACAGAGAAATAGAATCGTAAAAATGATTAAGATCAGATATCCAAACACCGTCACAGTCATGATTTCCTTTGTTTAAACTTGATGAATTATTAACAAGTTTGAGAATTCTACTTCCTGTCCAACCCTCATGAATTCATTGGATTCCTTCTAATTTGACATAAAACACCCTTCGCTCGTTTGATTTCTCTCACATTCTCTCAATTCTTGAAGAGGC